TATAATTTTAAATCATAACATAATTTAACCATCTCCCCCCTGTTTCTCTGTGACTTGCCTGTTTCCAATATCAGTCAGAAAACTGTGTACCCCTCAGAAAGGTAAATTATCTAAAATTCACCTCTCTTCCCCATAAAGACCCGTGAAAAATTTCTTAAAAGCTCTAGAGCTGAGGATTCACCTGTGCCAACTGAGTAGCTCATCCTTTGATGTCTTGGTGCAGCATATATTGTGGCTCCTCATGGTAGAGAAATCCAGAACTGCTGAGGAGCTCCAGTGGACATAGGCCCAGGAGCTGGGGTAGGCTCATCCCAAGATCACTGGACTGCCATTTTGATCTGACTGCAAACTCAACTGCACCTTTTTCTAGGTTAATCCTTTCTGGGAGACCAATTACTCTAGTTCACATGTGTTAATGCAAAGAAAAATGAAGGGATCATCCCCGCACTTCAGTTAAAGAGAGAAAATTATTCTTATCCTTGTCAGCCTGCGTTGACTCTAGTGCATTCTGGCATGGGGGAAAAAAAAGAAAACAACAAAAAGTGTGCACTCAGGGGCTGAGTTGTTCAGTTTTATGTAGTTAACAGTGGAGAAAAAAAATAGAAACATTGAAGTAAGAGGTGGAAAATCGTCTTCTGACAGCTGGGAGAGTGGAGAGTGCTAGGGGAGGAGTGGATGCCTTTATGCCAGTAGCGGGCTCAGGGAATTGTCCTTGTTTTTTGAAGATGTCACGTGTTTGACCTCAGCTTCCAGACTTTGACAAGAAGTAATTGGTATGAAAGTGGGGACCACTAACTAGCAAGGTGCAGTCCTTTTGCGGCAGTGCAGGTCCTATTTTTGGAAATAGGAGATTTTTAGGTTGTTAAAACTACTCTAATGAATGGCTTAAGTTTAGATGCAAGTTTCACGGCTTTAGTGAATGTTTTCTTTTTTTTTTATAATAATGACTGATTTGAATTCTTTATGTTTTTTAACAATAATGTGAAACCTTTCTCCTTTGGAATGGAGTTAAATATATGAAGTTCACACTGAGAAGAAAACAAACCAAAACTGTGACCATCTGAAACTAGTGGGGTGGGCTTTTTTTTTCTGATTACTTCTTCTTCACATGTTTCAGACCATGTAAAAAACAAGGTGGGACTTACCAGAAGTTTATATCAAAGGTCCTCAAAGAATCTTACACTACATCTCAATTCCCCTTGGTTATGTAACACAGAGCTGTAAAGGACAGTTCATGGCTTATTTTCTAATTATTTCTGCAGGTGAATAGTTGCTCAGCTGCTTTCCATGGTTAGGATCTCAGCAGGGCTGTGGGTCCTACAGGAGGATTAGAAGGCTGGAGACAGGGAGATCTCTCTCTCTGGTGTTGGAAATCTGGGGACCAGGTCCTGTTTGACAGTGATGTCAACCCATCAGGTCCTCTGAGGGCACTTCCAGTTTGTGGACTGGGGGGGTTGCATAGGGAACCTGTCACCAGATGGTATCTGTGCTGTGCCCTGCTTCTGGCAGAGTTTGCAAGGGGTTAATGGTTCTCTCCTTAACCCTCAGTAAGCACACAAATAGAGCTTTGTGTATAAGTACTTATTCCCACTGAGTAACACTCAGTATCAGATATGTTTTGGAGGATAATTCTTGATCCTTTTGATTCCTGTCGTACATATTTTGGCATTAGCAGGACTAGACTAGTGACTTCTTTCTGCTCTTGGCTTGATACTATTCCCAATCAAGGAAGGTTTTTGGTTTGGTCTAAAACTTTTTTTTCTACCTAAGCATTGGTGTAATTTCTATGTTGATAGGAGCAAAAATATTATTGATAAAACTCTGTAGCTGCCAATATGCTTTTAGTGGAATGTATTTACATTTGGTGGTGCAGCACTTCCTGAGAGCAACAGATTGCTGTGCAATTTTTGCTAATGCATGGTTGGCCAGCATCCCTCTATTTCTAACAGCATCATCCGGTGTGTTATTTTCTAGAGGACTTTTACAGTGGTTTCTGAGAGAGCAGTTGTCCTTTTAGGGAACAGTGAAAAACCTGAATCAGCCTGTAGAACTCCTGCTTTTTGTTAAACAAGCTTCTCTTTTCATGATCATAAAGGCAGCAAAGAGAGATGGTGACAGTGACAGAAAGGAGGTGAGAGAGCTGTATGTTCTCCATAAAATCTTTGAGAAATCTACTCTTTCTGGAAATATGCAGGAATATTGCTATTTTTCATTAATTATCTGGTTTTAGACAAGAGATTTTTAAAATTCTGAAAGAATAACTTCTCCAAAAAATGCTTTGATTGTGTCTTGTTTCTAAGGAGAACCAGTTTTGTGATCTGTCCTGCTTTTTTTTTTTTTTTTAACGGCATCTTTACAAGTAATTATTCTAGAAAAGTAGTTATTCTTTTTTTCCAGAGTAAAAATATCTCCTTTAAATCATTCAGTGTAACACACTCATACTGCAGGAGTCTGTATAAGATGTTAGAGGAAAAGGCCTTCCTCAAAATCCAAAGTAATTATTAACTAAATTCTATTAACTAATATTTATTAACTAGTCATTAACTAAATGTATGTCCTGAGTGTTAAGGTGGAGTGCTATTTGAAATTTTAAGGATTGTGATTTAAAGCTAAATTAGGTGGTAAGACACAATGGTTCTTATTTGTGATTTATTAGGAATACATCTCCTTTAGAAAATGGTATTTTAGAATGTTGTGGGTGAAATATCCCTTTGCTTGTCTGTGCTGTGTTATTACCTTGAGCACTAAGGTTTTTTTATGTTTAAAACACAGTAGTCCCTTTTTAAAACAAAGTAAAAAAATGCCTCTCTATATTTTGGTGATAAGTGGTGAAAAAATGCTATCAAAGTAGTATTTCATACTTTTCACTGTAGCATAGTGGTAATATATCAGTGGCCAGACAGCTAACTTCGTGGGTTTGTTTGTTGGGTTTTTTTTGTAATAATATGTAAGTGGAAATAAACAGAGTACCATAGATAAGAAGGTATTGGCGGTGACTTTGATGATAAAAGGCGCCCAGGCACTCATGACATGCTGATATTAAATGCCATTCTCTGTCCCATACTAGAATGTTGGGCCTTCTGCAACTTCCCTAAAGGTAATTTAAAGGAGAATGCCAATACTGACAAAGCATGTTTTGAAGCAGAAAATAAATCTTTATTTGTCCTTAAAAGGAAGATGAATCAGAAAGCTTTTGCAAAGCAGTCTCTGGAGATACCAAAATGTTAAACCACTAGTGAAAGCCTTTTGTAAGACATCTTTCTGTGTGCCCTAATTTATGGCTCTGCTCTGCACAGGAACTTTATAAAAATGGAACTTGCCAGACACTGTTTGAGTAGTATCTGGGTGCAGCTTCTATTTAGAAGATGAGATAAATTGGGAAGCACCTTTGTGGTTCAAAGCTGAATATTTTGAATACCGTACTGTTACTATTTACTCTTCTTTCAGTGTGGTTCCATGTATTTCATTTTATTCACAGCTTTGAAGGCAGTTCAATTAATTGCATGGTTCTGTATTTGTAAACATTTCCTTTGATGTCTAAGGTAAACAAGAGTCCTACACCAGTTAGTTGTCCCACAGGGGTGCTAATCCTTTGAGGATGAGAGAATTCTGCTTTTCCCTGGAATTCTTAGATATCAATTGAAAAGTTTTGTGAAATAAATTTTTTGTAAGAAATTTTGCAAAAGGTACCATTTAATGTATAACTGCTTTAAGTAGTGAGCATATATAGTATAGTTCAGTTTGAGCATTTCAGAAGTATTTGCAAGGTGAAGGAAATATTTAAAAGGCAGCGCTTTCTGTAAGTGCCCCTGATGGATAAATGAATATATGATGATTTATGACTTACTATCCAAAGTTGAGGAGAACCAAAGGGAGAAATCAGCTTAGTGATAGCAGATGATCTGGTGAAAGAACGACCTAAAATACCTTATTCAAACCTGTACTGTGACTATTTCAGAGCTACTCAACACGACATTATAGTGCTAAGCATGCAGTTTTGTTGGATAACAAGAAAAAAATAGTATTTTGATAAATGTTTAGATGTCAAGGCCAGGACAAAAGTGTAGGAAGTGATTTTTATTATTATTATTATTATTATTATTATTATTATTAGTCTGGGAGTAGTATTTTTTCAAGAAAAAATACATTAAACAACTGAATTAAATTGATGTAGAATTAGGAAAAAACAAGCAATTAGATAGGCTGGGTTTTTTTAGTTATTTTTAATTTATTTTTTTTACCTTTTTTGTTCCCAAGTCCTGTGCTGTTGCCCATGACATAATCATCTAGTTAAATATTTTCTTTTTCTGACTCCTAAAGTGCCTTTTGCCCCATCCTCATTGTTTGTACCAGACCTGATGAAACTGTCTTCTTCACTGACCTTACTAGCCACTTACATCACCTTGCAGCTGTCTACATAGACCTTTTTGCAGGCTTGAGGCTTAATGGAGACTTAGAACTTCCAAGGGCAGCGGTACCAGGTGTCCAAAATCAGAGACTGCCTCAAAGCTTTATCTTTTGAGCACTGTAAACTCATGGTAAAAAATTATATGTATTGTGTTTAAGTGTAAATAATCCCCCTGTGATTTCTTTAGTCATGGGCTTAGGGTTTTTTTTGGTAAGGAGGAGGGGGTGTCAAAGGTTTTTTTTGAGGTTAGTCTTTTTAGTGTCTTCATCTTTGTTTTAGTCGAGATAGCATTTGAATTTAAAATTTTGCTAGAATAAGCCTATTTGAAGTGCGTGCTATTTCCACAATTATTTTCAAACATTGCCTCAATTTTATTTTTATAGCCGGAGTGCAGCTCATGTATGTTTTATTCTCACATTGTGCACAGATGCTTGTATTTCTACTCTTCTCCTTGATGATTTAGGAATGCACTAGAAACAAAAGAATTGGTCTCACTGTTAAATAGTTTTCAAAGTCAAGAAAATACTGTGCATAATTTCCTTAAAGGAGTCATAGTGAAGTAATGTTTTTGTTTTCTATTTTTCTAATGCAGTACAAATCAAAGATGGAAGAGAAAATCAAATTTGGTATTTGAAAATATCAAAACTAGCATTGGCTTTTGCAATTATCCACTCGAAACCACCAGGGAAGAGTTCCAAAGAATATACTGAGCATCTTGCCAAAACTGTATCTGAACGAGATTTTGGATGGAAGTGGAAAGTTGAAGTGCTGGAAGCTGAAGTTCTTCGATTAAGACAAGAACTTCTTTTGAACCGGATCTGTCCAAGATTCTGCTTGGAAAATAGTAAGTTTCTCAAATAATTTCTGACAATGTTTCAGTAGCAGGGAACCAAATAGCTTTCATGTTGCCTGTAGCATTTCTTTTGCCTAGATATGAGAGTCTTCAGTGTACAGCTTTCTGTTTTTTCCCAAAGCTCTGAAGTAGTGGAACACTTAATTAATTTTTAATGGGATTGTGCTTGAGAATTTGGTCCTTAAGCAGAATTTACATATTTAACCCTCAGAATCAATATGTATTATACAGAATAATTGCAGCAAAAATTGTCAATACTAAATGTTACTCTATAACCTTGGAGATACTAGTTTGTAAGAATATTGATGTACCCTATTTATATTTGCATCTTGCATATTTTTTAATGACTTTACAGATGTTTAAAATCTGAATTTAAGCCTAATGTGTTGGAAGTGCTAATCCCTAATATGTATAACAGGAAGGTTGGGCAGGCAAAAGACTGTATGTCTGCTGATTCTCTTAATGTATTGAGACTCTGGATGGGTGAATGGGGTTTTTTATGGCATATGATAAAATATTGTGAGTCTGATATTGTAGGAATCAGGAAGGAGGCTGTTAGTTAAAGAAGATGAAAAAAAAAATAAAACTAAAACAGATTGGGTTCAAACAGCACTGTTTCTCTAACTCGTGCATGTGGAGTGAGTCATGCTTGCTCCAAGAGATCAGTGGCACAGAGTGAGCTTGGAAATCAGGCAGTGGAGAATGTCTCCAGGTCCTGGGAAGATGTTTCCCTGGGAGAAGGAGGTCAAAATGCTCTGGGCTGAAAGAGAGAGTTTGCTGTTGAGGGGATCACTAAAATCAAGTTGAATAGTTGATTTATGACTTGAGATTTTTAGAAGTTTCCCTCATAGAAAACTTGATGAGGCTTTACCACGCTGCTTTTGTACTGAAACAGTGACTTCTTTATTGCCTTGTGAGATTTCTAGTTTCTAACTTTGACTGACGGGGGGATGCATTATTAGACTTTAGCTAGAAGCTCTAATGATTTATTTATTTAATTTTTATAATAGGCTTTTCTCTCTAGAGAAGTGATTTAATGACTGTTCATACTTACTTATTGTTTATGTGTCAGTTCTCTGCAACCTGTTCCAAACATGAAGTCTAAGAGTAAAAGTAGCTTTTAGAGAGATTTCAGGAGAGATTTATTAACATCTGATGTCTGATGAGGATATTCTAATTGTGGATTAAGCAGAACATAGTAAACACTAATCGATTAGCAAAACATAGCAAATAAAACCAATTCATCTGCAACTTCTGTGTCCTAAGTCTTGCTTTTGAAAGATTCTTTAAATTTTAGTTGTGAGAAGGATAGAGAAAAGCAACCATCCCAGGCAGATAACACCCCTTGCAAAGGTGGTTAATTTTCATTGCCCTAGTCACAGTGAAGTTTGTTCACAGATATGAAATGTGTTAAATCTTTTGTAATTTTAGATGTCTACAGCTACACTAAATTTCTGCGCTTTCTTCTTTACCTGTACAGGGAAATAGCATGCTTACTCTGCAGTCTATGGTTCACTTGACCCATTGCAATGTTCACTAATATGGATGTGGGGAATTGTCTCGAAAATTCAATCTGCATTCTGCTAGTGGTAGTCTGACTAGCTTAGAAAAAGTGCTATGATTCCCAAATCACTTAAGTAAGCTGCTCTTCATGGATAGCTTTTTTAATTTTTCAAGGTCTCAACATATCTGACCAAGTCTAGTTTTTTAGTGAAGCCAAACTTTAATTTCAGTCTATTTTTAGCTAATGGACTCATAAATAGTAGAGATGAGTATCTGTTGTCCATAATCCTTCTATATTTCTTGATTTCTCTGGAGTTCAAAACCAGCACCTGACTGATCTGAAAGATTAGTGTGTAGCTGCTTTTTCCTTGGAATGTTTATTTTTGTGACTACAGTGTTTATAAACCTGTTAGACAGAAAACCTCTTGACATATGAAATATCTGTGGGAGTTCACATCAACCCCAGCTGTATCACACACTGTCCGAGAAAAGTAGGGCATAGTCTTCCCCTTCAGTTTCTCTTAACCACTTGAGTGTAAGAGCACGAAAATATGTGGAAAATCTGAACTGAATAGATTTCTTCATGCACGTTTTCCTTAGCTTTGAAAGGACACTTTCAGATTCTTGGAGTGTAACTTTGAGATGGCCATTTTTTTTTATGATGTTTTGTTCTTTTGGCTCTTTGGGTTTTTTTCTTCTTTAATTTTGGTATGGCATGTGATCTCTTTTGATAATGGATTTGAGCCATATGTTATTTTGGAAAGAGGATTTTTGTCATCAGATGTAACTGCTTAGTGGGCATTCATGATTACAGTGACATTGGAGACAAATGCCTGGTCTCTTGCTTTTTGAGTAAAGTGAGATTGTTACTGATACCAGATGGGCTATCTGTTGGTGAGATCTATGCATTCCTCTGGTGATCAAGTTGTTGATATATATTAATAGTAGAACACCTGTGGTTATTATATATAGGAAGATGGTCGTAGGAGCAAAGCCTTCCTGAAATAGGGGCCACTACACCACTGACATCTTTTGCTGCAGGGAAAATAAAAAAATCCTTTCTTGTGTGTTGTGCCAGTTTTGAGATTTTTTCAAGCTCATGGAGATTAGAAGCTAGAGGTGGTTACTGCTGAGATATGGAGGCACCAGGAGCTTGAATCTAAGTTGAGAAAAAAAGTGGTAGAAGTACTGTTTCATCCTATTCACTTGAAAGCTACTGTGGATCCATCAAGCCATTTGTATATTTTTTTGTTGATGGTATACATAGCCCGAGTCTACCACCTAATATCACACCAGAGACATGCTCTTTAGGGATGAGGATAGCTCATTCTGAGTACCAAATAATCTGCTGATATCATGGATCCTTTTCCTCCTCTACTCATTTCTCCAGCCTCATTTTTGGAGTTGGTGTTCTGCTTAAAATAACGCAGCCTCTTAAAATGGTTTCAAACCCTCAGCTTTTATGTGGCTTTCTTGCATTTTGTTTAACAACCCTGTAGATAAAAGAATGCCTGGGTTTCACAAAATCCACTAACAGAAAATCTCTTGCAGTAAGGATAACATATTGCGTTTGTTTCTGCTGGTCCCTCTTCAGAATTGAAGAGTTTGAGTCCTTCAGCCAAGGTTCACTTTGCAGCTGTATCTTCCCTGCTCTGCATTCTGAGTGTGAGAGCCTTCCTCTCCCACCTGCTGTTTGTAATAATAATAGTAGGTCTTTTCAGAGGCTTCAGGAATGATTAGAGACTGCCCACGGAGTTTTATTTCCCTGATGTGAGAAATTTGTGAGCTCTTTGAAGCTGTGATACCTGTTTTCCCTCTCCACATAAAGTTGCACACAGCATGGATGTGCAAACACATGAAGGAGAAAGAACAAAGAATGCATTTTTTAAAGATATGTTGTCTAAATTATTTTTGTCCCATCTGAACAGTTCTTCGTTCTCAGAGACCCTTAAAAAGTTAAAGGTGCCTAACTTAGGGGGAGGAGCATGCTTTGCTGCAAGTAAACTGTTCGGTGGTGTGAGCTGTTACAGTTTAATGTGTTTATAAAATTGCTGTAGTGTATATTCAATGACTGTGCTGTGTCTGCAAGTTCCTGTTCCGTTGCCTTTCTGAATACAAGGACTCTATTCCTTGGTGGTGCTTTTGGCTGTACGTCAATCATCATCATCTGAGGAGGAGAAGCAAATCTTTTTGTAATTATCTGTTCATTATTTTTCACCTTGACAGTATTGTCCTGACAGCTATGCCCATGAATAGAAAAAAAGTCAAATTTCATATTAAATCAAAGTTTCCAGCCTTTCTTTGATTCAGATTGAAAGTTCACAGTAAGGAGGATAGAAACTTCTTGGTGTTATTCCAAGAATAAGTATATAAAGTATTTGAGCCTTCTGTTGTCACTTTGCTTTGGGAGCTACATGAAAAGATAAAGGGTCTTACAAAGCACTGATAAATTGATAGATTCATGGATTGAAGCACCTGTCCTCTAAGACAAATTCCTTCACTGTTATCAGCTCATAAAATCAATGATCATATTGTTTCTTGGCAGGCTCTTTTAAAGAGCTCTGAAAAGCCTGCAGCTGTTACTCCAACTTAAGAAGGCATAAATGCAGTACTCTACACTTTTTTTTGCCAAGTACATATTTTAAGACTGACAATTTAAAAGGTAGATATTTATTGCCTTGGTTGGTTTCAGCTGATGCTCTTGAAGGGTTCCAAATCAATTATCCAGGGTATATGTTTGGCAAAACTTGTATCAGTGTGTGTTCTCCCTTCCTTAGCTTCACCTTCAGTCTTGGTTCATGTTATTCCCTTCTTATGCAGTGGGTAGACATAAAATGTCTGAACTGCTTGCTCCTCTAATTGAAATAAAAATCAGATTCTTTCCACACTGTCCCTTTCTAGAATTAGTTTAGTCTTCCTTTTATAGATAATTTACAGCAGAACTTCATCTGCCATGCCCTGAAGTCCCCTCCTGTTCTCAGCCTCAACAGTAGCGTGTGGCTGCCAATCCACCCTACTGTAGCATGTCTGTGTGTTTAGGGAAACTTTGAGTCAGAATGTGATTAATGTGAATGTCTGATATTTAACTGTACCCTGAGGCTGTGTTCGACCTTGCAGGATATTCTATTTCCTGTGTCAAAGAAGCAACTTGTATCTCTTTTGGGAATAAATATAATAAGAACCAGGAAAAAAAAAAAATTGTATCTTCTGCTTCATTCCTTAACTTGGTGTGTTCCTTGAGGCATTTAGTTGTATACATGGAAAAAGGGAGCAACTTCCTTTGCAGATTAGTATGAATGAAGACACTTCAGTCTCCTTTTTTCTTACTTCAGACTTCTCAGACTTCCTGTGTAAGTAGAAGCATACAGAACTGGAACCAACCCACTCAACAGCTGAAGTAAAACTGATTATAAACAATACCCAACTCCAGTTTACCAGCAGCCTTGGTTTGGGTCATAGAATTCAGCCTTCCCTTCCCTTTCTGTTTC